TTGGTGCTCACCATTACAATTATCAAGTATAGGGCAGGCGAGATAGCTCAGTGGACTAAGCACCTACTTTGGCAAGTGTAGGGACCAGGATTTGATCCCCCAGCCCTGCATGCAATGCTGGCTTGGCCCCTGAGCAAGTAGAGTCTGGGTGTGGTGGTGCATGCCTGTAATCCCAGTGCTGGGAGGCTGAAAACAGTATGATCACTATAAGTCTGAGCTGCGTAGCGAGACCCTGTACTAAATACACAAATAATAAAGAAAAATAAATGTACTCAAGCAATCCTCCTGCCTCAGCCTCCCGCATAGGGACTACAGACACATACTGCACACCCAGTGGACAGTATTTTGTTAACACATGTAAATTATTATTTTTCATGATTGCATACTGTCTTGTATAGACGCAAAATTTAGTTAACCATTACTCTGATATTTACATTACTTTCCTTTTTAAATGATCAGCAATGGAGTACCAATCTGTCCCAAGTTAACTTCAGAACACTGACATGGCATTTTTAAGTCAAGGTCTTGATAGAACTGAGCTCCAAAAAGGCTCTATGAATGTACATTTTGACTAGTGGTAAGTGACAGCACCCATTTCATCACAGACCCTCCAACACTGAGTATATCTTTATTCATCTCTATCTATCTTCATACAATTTTTTTTTCTTTTTGAGACAGGGTCTCTCTATGCAGTTCAGGCTGGCCTTGTGCTTACTTTCGTAGTCCATAGGCTGGTCTCGAACTTGCAGAGCAACTCCTGGCTCAACCTCCCAAGTGCTGGGATTACAGGCGTGCGCCACCACACCAAGATTCATTCTTTTTCACTCTTTTAGTTTTTCTTTTATTAATGAGGTTAAATCTCTCATCTGTAGTAATCATATAACAAAGTACTATGTGGAGCTGCCAGTGGAATAAATAGGACAAACACAACTGTCAGACACAAACCAGGAAAAATGCAATCTGCTTAAACTGTGCTAAGGCTACTGTTTTTAGCACTTGTAGGTTAGTAACAGTGATTACAATTCTTTTCATTCATTTCTACTTGTTTTTTGGGGTTTTTTTTTTTGGCAGAACCAGGGACTGAACTCAGGCCCTTGCACTTGCCAGGGAAGCGCTTATTCTACTGAGCCATCTCCCCGGCCCTTGATTTTTTTTATTTCAGAAAAATATTCGTTTTTTCAATTTCTTTTTTTCCCCAATTTCTAAGGAATAAAATCCTTTATTTCAGTAGGAATTACAGGAATGAAGCAGGAAAATATTTTCATTTAGAATTTTATTATTTTATTTTTTTGTGGTACTGGGGATCGAACTCAGGAACTTGCATTTGTCTGGCAAGCACTTACTCTACTGAGTTATCCCTCAGCCCCTAAACTACTAATAAGTTCTGTTACCCTCAGTTAATAAGTGAGTGTTATTATGAATATCCTTGTCACTATGAATGTAAAATTCCAATAAAATCAGTAATGCCTTACATATAAGAAAACTTTTCTTTTTTGTTTTTTTGAAACAGGGACATGCTATGTAGCCCAGGCTGGCCTCAAAACTCACACAAATCTTCTACACAGGAATACTATGATATATATTTTCTTCATTGAACCCAATTCTCAGTGTTTTGGTCGATAACCTTAGGTTTATAGGTATACAATCATCATCTATGAAAATGGTGGTTTATATTTTTCGTTTACCTATTTTAATTGCTTTTGTTTTTGCCACTGGAGTTCAACTCAGAGCCTTTACACTGAGCTACCCCCACAGGTTCTTTTATTATTTTTAGTTTTTTGATCTAAGGTTTATGTAGTCCAGGCTGGCCATGAACTCACTCTGTAACCCAAGCTCTCCTCAAGCTCCCAGCGTTCACCTTCCTCTGCTTTCCAAGTACTGGGATTATGGGCACACACTACCACGCTCAGCTGGTTCTTTTATTTTGAGACTAGCTCTTGGCTAAATGCTCAGGTTAGGCTCGAATTTGCTATCCTCCTGCGTCAGCCTCCCAAATACTAGGATTACGCGCGTCCGCCACCATCCCCGGTTCTATTTCAACTTTTTAAAAATTTGTAACTTCTGGGTGGCGCTCGTGGATTTTTTTCCCAATACATTCAACAGGATCAGGGCCGGTGGGAAGGCGTTGGAAAGCGCAGGCAGGAGTCAGGGAAACGAGCGAGGGAGAGGACGCGGGGGTGCAGACTCTGGAAGCCGCGGAGAGACCCAGCGTCCAGGCATCAGCAGGTCCTGCCGACAGACGCTTGGCGACCCGCTGGGTCCGGCCGCATCTCACCTGCGCCTGGATGCTCAGCGACACGCAGCCGGGCGACAGCTTGTAGGGGCGCAGCAGCCGCAGGCACTTGGCCAGGTGCTCCTCCCCCGCCGACAGCTCCTCCGTGTCGATGTGGTTCACTCCGAGGTGGAACTCGAGGACCGCCAGC